GTAAGCCCCATAGATCTTTAAAAATTTTAATTTATAAATTAATAAAATAACATAATAACACAAAAAATATAAAATATAAACTAAAAGTTAAAAATTAAAGAAAATTAAAGGAACTCATAGAAAAAAAATATCTAGCATGATTCTTTAGTATAACTAATGCATACAAATCACGTATAACGTCTTTCACTTTCAAATAATTAAGAACTTACAATTTCTTTAAAAAAATGATCAAACTCCATATTTTACCTTCCTAAAAGTAAATAATTAATAAAATCTTATTAGTACGATAATTAAAATATTACTCCTTCATGAATAAATACAAATTAGCTTAAGATATCAAATTAATAAAAGTATATAACAAGGAGGGACAAATAAACTAAGACACGACCAATAACAAGTGAAGATATAAATTCGCAATATTATGTCTCATTATTAGAGTTATGCTCAATCTTCATATTTTTACCGATGAATAGAACTTGTCATTAATTTGTTAAATTTTTTTGAAGGTCAATGATATTAATTAGGAAATTCGACACGTGATTTGCGTTAGAACTGTTAGGCGAGCCTCGAGCGTTGCGCGTTAGGCGTGTTTAGGGCGCACGATCGGGCGCTTGGGTCGTAAGCCTCACAGAACTAAGTACCATACATGAGCCCCAGGACGTTTTGCAAGTGCCCCGCCCAGGAGCGAGCCCGGGCGAAGCCCAAAAATACCTTTTAAAACACTGGTCTAAACTAAAGGCGAGAATGTGAGTTAACTATGATTTTATGATATGGGTGTACGTGAAGGCAATGTATTAAATATTCATTGTGTTGGATACATTACGGTATGATTACAAGATAGTTACCAAAAAAAAATAGAGCAATTTTTTTCCTGGTAATAAAATGCGATAGTTACCANACTAAAGGTGAGAATGTGAATTAATGATTTTATGATAAGGAAATACGTGAAGACATGTATTAAATATTCTTTGTGTTGGTGCAAACATCCGGTGTAAATACATTACATTATGATTAAAAGATAAGTCATTTTCTAATACTTGGTCGTCACTGGGGGGGGGGGGGTTGAATGATTTGTTTTAATTTTGGGTGGAAATCATTTCTTTCCTATCTATCTCAACTCATAACTTCATTTTATTGCTCTAACAAACACTTAGATATTAATTATCATTCTTTAAAATTTAAAATTTTCATTTAAAAAAAAAACTAATTCGATTTGCAAAAAGTATTATAGCCTGTTTGGCCAAGCTTTTCCAATGAAAAAAGTATTTTTTTTTTAAAATTGAAGTGTTTGGCCAAGCTTTTGGAAGAAAAAAAAAAGTGTTTTTGAGGAGAAACAGAAGCAGTATTGGAGAAGCAGAAAAAAATAGTTTCTCTCCAAAAGCACTTTTTTGAAAAAGCGCTTTTAAAAAAAAAACACTTAGAAGCAGTTTTTAAAAGCTTGGCCAAACACTAATTGCTGCTCAGAATTTTTTTTTAAATCAATTAGCCAAACACAAGCTGATTCTCGCCAAAAAATACTTTTAAAAAAAAATACTTTTCAAAATAAATTAATTTTTACAGCTTGGTCAAACAAGTTATTATTAATTTTTAATACGCATTTTTAATACACCGAAAAATGGTTATTCCAAACACAAATGGACCATGGTGATTTGACGATTTCGAGGATTAAAGGTTGACAAACTTATTCTATGTCGATCCTTTGAGTTTTCAACTTAGCAAATTAGTCCTAAACATTGGCACGATGTAGCTACTCTAGTACCTATTCATGCTTTTTAAAGTTTTTTAAAAATTGCAGTTTCAGTACATCGCATAAAAATATGCGATTTACTTTTATATTTTCCCATATTTATTCCATCGCATACCCGAACTCTTCAGAACTCAGATCATCTCATTGCGCTCTCTAAGTTCTCTAAAATGGTATGCAATTTCTTCTTCCTTGTTTCATTCTTATCATAATCTCAGCGAATGTATGAAATTTTTTAATATAATTCGTTAATATATTTTTTTTTCGTTAAGGTTCAATCAGCAAAACCCATTTCAAGCCCAGTACCCATTACATGGTACCCAACCCTAGCGGTATTTATGCTTGCAATTGGCCTTATCGTAACTGCTTCCTTCTTCATGTAAGCGCTTGATCTGATTTTAGTAATACTGTATTTTTTATTCTTTGGGATGTAGGGGAATTTTATTTAGTGGATCCAATAGTTTAAGATTAAGGCGTATTTGACTAATATTCGTTTATGCTAGTAATTGAAGTGATTTGTGTCAACGTTGATTGATTGCATTTAATACTTGTGAGAAAGGGCTGTTGAAGATGGTTGCATGTTGTGAATAAGGAAATTAAATAACATGAAATTGTTTATTTGACTCTGTTACTTCTTTCTTAAATGGCTCTATTCAATATGATGTGTGAGCTTGCTCACATTGCTGGTTTCAAGCCCGGGTAAAGGAGGAGGGTTGCGGTACGCTGCACCCAGCATAAACCCTATCAAATTCATGTTGAATCCTCATAATACAGATATCGTTACTGTATTCAATATGATGTGTGGGCTTGCTCACATTGCCGGTTCCAAGCCCGGAGAAAGGAGGAGGGTTGCGGTAGGCTGACAACCAGCATAAAACTTGCCAATTCATGAGGAATTCACATAATTCAGATATCGTTGCTCTATTCATATGATGTAAACTGTTTATTACTAATAAAAATTGTCATGTATGTTGACGAAATTATGCATTAGTGGTTTGGTTGTGTTAAAATAGCTTGAGATTAAGTGTAGTTGTTGTAGCTGTTTGTTGTTGGCTATGTTGTGCGGACTCTCCAAAATGCCGCCGTACTCATGTTGGATCCTCCAAAAATCATTACTTTTGGAGGATCGGACACGCACACGGCAACATTTTCAGTGAGTCCGAGCAACATAAGTTGTTGGTTGCGTTAAATTGATTAAACTGTGGAAATGATCACTTACTAGAGTATAATTTGAGACAATGTTAAAGAGTACCAGTCTGCTGGTATAATTTGAGACAATGTTAAAGAGTACAAGTCTGCTGTATGACTGATATTCCGGGTTCTACAAGTGTTGCTGTCTTTTCTCTTATAACAAACCTATGAATGTGTGACAGCTATGAAGCTACTTCTCCGAGGAAATATCGCAGTCTCGTGAAGGAGCTTACAACTGGAGCAATGGCATCTGTTTTCTTGGTATGTGCACTATAATGATTTGATCTCTTGTTTTCACTCTGCCTTTGTTGTTGATATTTGCTTGTTTCTATTCTTCCTCTCGAGCCGTGGGTCTTTTGGAAACAGTCTCTTTACCTCCCCAGGGTAGGGATAGGGTCTGCGTACACACTACCCTCCCCAGACCCCACTTGTGGGATATTACTGAGTTTGTTGTTGTCTCTCGTTTTCACAAAACTGGTTGCTTGTACTGATTCCTCACTGCACCTTGTGCAGGGTTTTGGATCCTTGTTTTTGCTACTTGCTTCAGGCGTATATGTTTGATGCATCCACATGGTTAGAGATGAAGTATTGTACTACTGTTTCTACATGAATGGTTTTGAGAATTGCAGTTGGTTTTATATGATTTATGATTGAAAATAGCATCTGTAGAACTGATCCTTGTCACCTGGTGTAGTCTTAGAATTTTTAACTGAATGGCAGCATTGGAGAGCTTATTGAAAAATTGATTGAGGTAAGTGTGACCTATTAAGCTTATGATGTAAGGCATTTTGAAACTTTCTATTGTTGGAGTTCAGTGCATAAAAATTTTAGTATTAAAGAACTTGTTGAAGTGTATGGATGTAACAACTAACCATGGCACACATCGGATAGAATGTTGGATATAATGGGAGAGCAGGTACATAGACAAACCATGATGTTACATCTCATTCTCATGTGTTCATGTGCTTATAGAATTGTCTATAAACGCAACAATACGAACAAGAAAATACTCTCTATGATGATTTGTATGAGTGTTATCGTCAATTACTTTGTAGAAGAGCAATTCAAGGTAATGCAATAAATCCATGGATATAAATGATTGGAGTTAGAGAAGATAAGTAGAAATAAATGATCACAAAAATGTGTGATATGCAGGATGTATACATATAGATACACACACAATATATATAGATATATGTATTCGCCTTTTATGCGTCCGATCAAACATTAGATCTCTTGTGATTCGTGGATAACTCTTTTGTGGATTAATATTATTTTTTACTCTTGCATAAGGATAGTTATCAAATTGCAGGAGTGAACAATAATAATCCACNATATATATATATATATATATATATCCATGCAAATCATACATCTGCTTTTCAATCCTTTTTCTTCTATTTATCTTCTCTAAAACCTCAATGGATTTATTGTTTGTTGGAATTGCTCAGTATTCATGGAAACCCAAGCAAAGGAATCCTCACTTTCTTCTATAAAGTAATTGACAGGCGACACTAATATAATCCGCCTTAGAGAATAGTTTCTTGTTTTTGTTAGGTTTATTGGCCATATTATCTGCGTATAAACAAATAAGATGTAACATCATTATTTGTCTATGTACCGACCTTCCCATTATATTTAACATTCTTTTCGTTGTGTGGCATGGTAAGTTGCTACCTCCAAAATAAAAATAAAAATAAAATAAAATAAATATATATATAGTTAATCCTATATGCATTGAACTCCAACAATGGGGAAGTTCATGCCCTTATATCAAAAAGCTTAATAGACCAATCGATAAACATAGTTATAATTAAAGCAGTTGCTATCTCATGGCGATGTTTTTAAACAAACAGAAAAAAGACGAACATATATTTGATCTAACTAAAGAAACCAATAGATATACAAACTTTAAGTGATTGAAGTTTAGTAGTATTTTTATACTTGGCAAATATTCCTGATTATCTAAGTACCTTTTTCCAATTACTGCAGCTAGCTAAACTGCTCGCTAACAACATAAGAGCAAGTACTAGTACAATACATGTTTTAATCTTTAATAAGTTGCTAGTGCGGGAGCGGAAACTTGGAGCAATGGTAAAGTTGTCTTCGTGTGACCAAGTCACGGGTTTGAGCCATAGAATGAGCCACTGGAGCTTACGTCAGAGTAGGTTGTCTATATCATACCGCTTGGGGTATTGGCCCTTTCCCGTACCCTACGTAAACGCGAGATGCTTGGCTGTCGTTTACGAAGTTACTAGCGCAAATGAAAAGAAATAAAAAGATGTTGACTAATCATATATCATGAAAATTGAAACTTAGTTATATAATCTCAAGTCATGATTATGTTAGATGAATAGGAATGCTAGAGAAGAGTACAAAGGATTTTGAAAGCAAGAATCACCAAATAATAGGAAAGGAAAAGTCCTTCATCACAAACAAATTGAAAGCAAATATAAAATGAAAAGTTTCTTTAATTCATTCATCAAAACATTCATGATATGTTTCTATTTCCTTCCCAATTCCTCTTACTCTCTAAAATTCCCCTAAACAGAGAGTATAACAAACAACTCATTCCAAATTTGATATGAAAACAATAAGAACAAATAAATACAACAATCTTTTTCAGATATCAACACATTGAAAGTGCTTAAGTAGCCTATTGGCTTCTCTAACTCCAGTAAGATAAGCACCATGAGTTGTTGAATAGTAGCATCTATGTGTTGCTTCCCCTGCAAATAAAATCTGAAGTGGAGGGCAATTCTTTGAATTTTTACCATAATTTCCCACTTTAGGTAATGGCTCAGCTAAAACATCCAAATCATCTCCACTTGATCCAACTGCAATATGAGTATATGATCCCAAAAACAATGGATCAGTACCCCATTTACACTTCAAAACCTTTGAAAACTTAACACAACTTTCTGCTGCTGCAGAATCTGAGTTCTTGAAATGCTTTGAGTTTGCTAGAAACTGTGATATTGTTGTCGAAACCCCGTCTATGATCTCCTCGTCATCTAGAGTTTCCATCTCAAGAGCTTCTTTACCTGTAAACCATGATACTAAAGTACTTGACTTTGGATAAAGTGGATGTATAAGAGCTGTCCTCCTAATCCACAAGGGAATTTTTGAATGAAATAATTTCGCGTCCGATTGATGAAAAACCATTTGCAAGTAGGGAAAATTCATCCCCTCATAGCCACATTCTTCAGTACTTGGACTAAGTTGCAAGAATAACTTGTCAACAACACCAAAACCAAGTCTTGAAATTGCTTGAGTCTTGAAACTAGGAAGTTGAGGACTAAACATAGCAAAGTCGTCGCGAATTCCTTGTTTTAGTACCCCTAATGAGACTGTTACAATGACATGATCAGCATACATTACTGATCCATCACTAAAATGTAACTTCACTGGCTTAGTACCATCACCATTTTCAAATTTTAAGTCACAATCATCATTTTGCCATTCAATTTTTGTGACTTTTCGGCCTAATTGAATCAAACCAGATGGTAAAACAGATGCCAAAGATTCAACCACAGTTGAGTACCCTTTGGCTATAGTTAGTTCATCTCCAGGAAAATTACAATACTGACTTTCTCCATTGAAATCTAAAGTACCCAAATCACCAGCTGATGAATAATGCCTATGTATATTCTCAAACATAGCAAAAACACCTTCTTCAAGTGATTTTCTACTCCATTTATCAAACACTTCAACATTTTCTTGATCTTTCTTTAAATTCCAATAAAATTCAAGACCTTTCCTAAGGAAAGAACCAGTACTTAGATTTTTTGTACTCCCATTTTCAAGATTTATACTTTCAACAATTTCTTTACATACCTCATCTTGAAAATTCCCTTCACCTGAAGAAAAAGCTAACATTTTGTTGAAAAAATTTGATATGGATTTAACAAGGGAAGAATTTACCTCATAGCCATCTTCTGTTATTGTCACTTTTTTATCCATTAATTTACCTTCTTTACATTCCCAAGGCTTTTCAGATTCCAATGAGTTAATTTCTTGAGCAATTTTATAAATTGGATTACCTTCAATTCCATGTATCCAAGTAGCTCCCATTTCAATTTGATCTCCATTAAATTCTGAAGTAAAAATTCTTCCACCAATTCTATTTCCACCTTCAACAACACAAAGCTCAAATAGTTCATTTGAGTTTTGTGTTGTGTAGAGTGTTTTAGCTGCTGTGAGACCAGAAATTCCAGCTCCAATTATCACAATTTTTGGCTTTTGTGTCACCATTTTAGAGGGAAAAAAGATTGAACAATTTGTGATATTTGTATTTTTTGTTTATAAGAATTTGGCTTGTGAGAATGAAGTAATTGAACAAGAAGCAAATCTATATATAGGAGTATATCATGGTGTCTATTACATTAGTTTATTCTTTATTGTATTCAAATTTTAAAGGTCTAGATTTTGAATAATGTAACAAATATTATATTGTAACCATAATTAACCAAAAGAATCATAAGTTTTTGGGAAAGAATTCTTTAACTTTGGGAAAGAATCATAAATTAAAGCGATCTTGTTTGAAATTCTAAATTTCAGTAATAATTTAAATCTCTAGCTCTGGTATGAAATAATTGACATACTTCCAAAATAAGTTAAACCCTGGTTCAATGTATTACCACATTGAAACGATGATAACCTGGTTTTTGGTTGCAGTTTAAAATTTGATTTGGCTTTAGTAGGGTTAAAATTAGAAAGGACAAATAAACCAATAAAACAAGCAAATTCAAACTATATATGTTGTTCAACAAATTAAACTGACAAGTAATAAAGACAAAAAAAAAAAAACAAACCGAGAGAATCTTACAATAATTTATATGTCATCACAGAACAAAACGTCTTTATTGAGAAACGAGCTTATATTAATTAGTTCAAATAAAAAAATAAAATTGAATGGCCCTTCTGACCATATATGTATTGATACTAAGAATTTTGGTGATGCTACAAACGAAGTTACTTGCGAAATTGCTATGTCCTTAACAAGAGGTATCGAGTTAGTTTAAGCTCCGAGTATAAAAATTACTTTTGTTAGGGAACGTTTTACTTCTAATGCATTTCATGTGTTCCAATATTAACATATCTTGTGGATTCATATTACTCAAAATTTTCTATAGCATCTACGCATAAATCAGCGTAATAAACACATTTACAGGTTGTTTGAATTTGTATCTAACATATTTTGAGGATTCATATTACTCGAATATTTTGCTATAAAATATGCGCCAAAATCTTCGTAAACANCTCTGATACTATATTAAAATGGACCTTGAGCCTAACTTAACTCCAAAAGTTAGTTCATGAGGTGGGAATCGCACAAAAACATATAAGGAAACCAAGCTTCTCACCCCTAGCCGATGTGAGACACCAACAATTCCCTTCAAATTTTGATGATGAAGTTCAAGAAATGCAGCAATTCCCTTCAAAAGTTAACTCATGAGGTGAGGATCGCACAAAACCATATAAGGAAACCAAGCTTCTCACCCCTAGCCGATGTGAGACATCAACAATTCCCTTCAAATTTTGACGATGAAGTTCAAGAAAATGCATCAAGGTATAATGGCAAAAAAAAAAACAAAACAAATGAGGTCCCTTTTCTCGTCTAAGATTTGATTTTGATCAGATTTGTGGTTGATAGTGTTATATCAGAACCTTCTTATATTAGCTAGAACTAATCTATTCTATAGTTGATACTCGCTGTGTTAGATTAGCTGATGTATGATGGCAACATAATGGCTAATATTTGTGGGTTGATGCGACAAATAACTATTAATTGAGTCACGTAAAAATGAAAAAGAAATGATGCAAGGCTCTATAGAAACT